CCATCGCTCTTAGGTTGGAGGCTGTCGCTATTTGGTTGGAGGCCATCACTCTTAGGTTGGAGGCCGTCGCTATTCGGTTGGAGGCCATCACTATTAGGTTGGAGGCCACCGCTATTAGGTTGGAGGCCATCACTATTAGGTTGGAGGCCATCGCTGCTAGGTTGGAGGCCATCGTTATCAGGCTGGAGACCATCGCCATCACTATTAGGTTGGAGGCCATCGCTACTAAGGTGGAGGCCATCGCTAGTAGGTTGGAAGCCATCGCTCTTGGGTTCAAGGCCATCGCTTTTAGGTTGGAGGCCATCGCTACTGGGGTGGAGGCGATCGCTATTAGGTTGGAGGCCATCGCTATTAGGTTGGAGGCCATCGTTATCAGGTTGGAGACCATCGCCATTAGGTTGATAGGTTGCAGGCCATCGCTAATAGGTTGTAGATGGTTGTAGGCCATCCAGGCCATCGCTACCAGGTCGACCGCTATCGCTATTAGGTTGGAGGCCATCCCTAATAGGCTGGAGGCCATCGCTGCTAGGTTGGAGGCCATTGTTATCAGGCTGGAGACCATCGCCATTAGGTTGTTGTGTTTGAGGCCGGTTGGAGGCCATGGCTAATAGATTAGAGGCCATCACTATTAGGTTGGAGGCCATCGCTACTAAGGTGGAGGCCATCGCTAGTAGGTTGGAAGCCATCGCTCTTGGGTTCAAGGCCATCGCTTTTAGGTTGGAGGCCATCGCTACTGGGGTGGAGGCGATCGCTATTAGGTTGGAGGCCATCGCTATTAGGTTGGAGGCCATCGTTATCAGGTTGGAGACCATCGCCATTAGGTTGATAGGTTGCAGGCCATCGCTAATAGGTTGTAGATGGTTGTAGGCCATCCAGGCCATCGCTACCAGGTCGACCGCTATCGCTATTAGGTTGGAGGCCATCCCTAATAGGCTGGAGGCCATCGCTGCTAGGTTGGAGGCCATTGTTATCAGGCTGGAGACCATCGCCATTAGGTTGTTGTGTTTGAGGCCGGTTGGAGGCCATGGCTAATAGATTAGAGGCCATCACTATTAGGTTGGAGGCCATCGCTACTAAGGTGGAGGCCATCGCTAGTAGGTTGGAAGCCATCACTCTTGGGTTCAAGGCCATCGCTTTTAGGTTGGAGGCCATCGCTATTAGCAAGCCAAATAGGTTTCACCGCTCCAGGTCCCAAGGTCTGAAATTCAAGCTGCTCTCCCTCATAGGTATCTCGGGCCAGCTTTGCACGATGGCTTTCGCCTGCGCATGAACCGAAGACCCGGAAAACACAGCGAGACTTGGTTGGCGCTATGTCCATGCTCCCCGTTTTGGCCTCAGCCAAAGCAAAGAGGATCTGCGCAGAGCGGAGCGGCCACTCGGTGGACTCCAGAAAATCCAGTCCTAACTCCTTAGCTACTCGGAGGGAGAGAAACCAGTGATTTTCCAAGGCTACTAGTAACAAAGGGCATCGCTACTAGGAGCAAGGACGCAAAGGGCTGGACAGGATTGCCCTCCAACAAGGCACCCAGGCAAACAAAGTCGTGCAAAAAACACTTTGCAACAGTTGTGAGATGTTGCGACGGCGCTTGACGTGTAAGGAAAGAGTGAATAGACAAGCAAGCGCACCTTACCGAGAAATTGCAAAGCCATTTGCCAATCCGCAATTGCAGCCTCGACGTGTCCTGGAATATCGTAAATAAAAACTCTTGGAATCAAATGCAATTAGTGAGTATTGTCCTTTTGTCAATTGAGCAAAGCGGTCTGCCCGGAGGATGGTTAAAATGCACTTCGTTTGGACCTCTTCCTACAGCTCTGGCTCAGCTAGCAGCTAGCAGCAGTGTTTTTTGCCGTGTGTTTGGTCCTTGTCTGCGGAGCTCTTGTCCACGAACATAGAGAGCAGTTACCACACCTTAGGTTCACTCAACTTGAAGTCAGACTTGTGGCAAAGGGTCATGGAAGATACACAACGGATTCCGAGGACAAAACAAAGCCGCAGGCAAAACTACACAAGCATCCCAGCATGAGCCCTTTAATCTCAACCCTGATACAGCCATGCCATGAGAGAGAAGTCACATGCGCAGAATCTTGGCCTTACTACTAGGAGCAAAGAAGCTACTAGGGGCTCCTGGCATCGCTACTAGGAGCAAGGACGCTACTAGGGGCTCCTGGCCTTACTAGTAGTAACAAGAAACTACTAGGAACAAGTGCCTTACTAGTAGTAACAAGTGCCACGCTACTAGGAGCAAGGACGCTACTAGGGGCTCCTGGCCTTACTAGTAGTAACAAGAAGCTACTAGGAACAAGTGCCTTACTAGTAGTAACAAGTGCCACGCTACGAGGAGCAAGGACGCTACTAGGGGCTCCTGGCCTTACTAGTAACAAGAAGCTACTAGGAACAAGTGCCTTACTAGTAGTAACAAGTGCCACGCTACGAGGAGCAAGGACGCTACTAGGGGCTCCTGGCCTTACTAGTAACAAGAAGCTACTAGGAACAAGTGCCTTACTAGTAGTAACTGTAAACAAGCAAGGCATACACGCCTTTTCACAAGACAGCGAACGCTTGTGCCTTTAAAGCGGCGGCCGGCAGGGTCAACTGAGTGACATGTTCACACTCGTCTTCTATACTATTGACCCTGCCGGCTTCAAAGCCTTCAGCCGACCCCACCGCTCCTTAGTCTTTGGAATGACCTTAGTCAGATTGTCTGACAACTGTGCGGAAGTGGGTAGCCAGCGCAGAGCCTTACGGAAGATGGTTTTGTGTTCGAGCTGCCAGGTGGATTCCTCTTCCTGAATGATCTGGCGGATGGCAGCAAGATCAACCATCAACCGTCTATCTGAAGGTGCTCTTGGCCCTCCAATTCGGTGGACCGAATCATAGAGCGACTTACAGTCGGTCAGGGAGATGATGGGCATCTTGTCCCTTGGCCCTCCAAAACAGCCTAGAAGAACATCTCTAAAAGCGATGGCGGACCTCCAACCCTCAAGTGCGGCCATGGTCTCGGCTGCGAAGGTGCTTCGGCAAACTCGGGCGCATGCATGAGACTTCCAACATGCCACCAGTCCTTCGCCGGTCTCGCCCTCGAGGATGTTCTTGTGGGCAATCAGTGTGATATGCCCAAGCTGGGAGTACTTCTGGTCCGCGTCGTCCAGGTTCTCCTCATACTCAGGGATGTTGGCCCAAGCTGCGTCATGGTAGACCAGGAGGATCAGGTCGGAGAGATCCCCAAGTTTAGAGTAGGCCATCTTTTCATCCTTGGCCTGCTGCGCCATTCGAACCACCTGGTTGGTTGCCTTGATGTCTTCGTAGGTCGGACTCTTTTGTCTCCTTTGGGCCATCGAGACACCAGCTTGGAGGTCGGGCCTCGTCTGAGAGGCAAGCCCAGAAAGTGCCCTGACTCTGGATTGGTTGTCCAGTTTTGAAACCTCATCTGCTTTTCCTTCCATGTCAACTTTTGGGAATGTCCACGGTGTGTAGCATGGTGTTCACATAGTGCTCTTGGCTCAAGGAGATCTCGTTGCTAGACTGTTTGATGGACACTCCACAATACTCTAATCCATCGCTTGCATCCTCCCATCTGTTGATGGGAAGAGTGCCGGATATGGCCTCTTCCATTTTGTGTCGGATGTCAGGCTGGGCGGAAATGATAATGTTGTCCGCATGGAAGGCCAGTAATCCACGTACCTCCTTCTCTTCGCTGAAGAGGAGGAACAGACAACTGTCCAGATGATGTTGTTCCAGGTTCAAGACCGTACCCTTATACCCAATCTTGATCTTCTTTAAAGTTCCGACCGACTTGTCCCACCATAGTCTTGGCGAGGTCGAGGGTGATGGTTCCAAGCAGAGACCGCTTCGGCATCCAACCTCATTGAGGGAGGCAACCTTGATGTCCCCTGCAGCCAATGACCAACCCTGCTGCGCCGTGAGGAAGACCAAGCATGTAATGGACATTTTGGTGGCGACTGGTACCTCAGTGTTTGGCTTCAGTACTGTCCGTTGCTTTCCATCACTTGAGGCCATGTAACAAAGCAACTCATCATCGTCAGGGACCGGGACATAGGAGGGAGCCATAGGAACGTCCTCCTTTTGTTTCATCCTCTTGACTGGGACTAGCTTTTGTTCTGTCTCCCGTTTGTTTGCCCTTGTTCTTTCTCCTTCTTCATCTCCTGGAAGCTCGTCGCCGGGTTCAGTAGGAGAAAAGTCCATCTCGGAATGTTCAGGTAGATGGCGTTCGAGGTCCCCAGTGGCGTCGGCAAAGACCTCAGGATCATCTACCTCCATCCCCTCGATCAATTGCATTAGGTCCCTCTTGACGGCACGGGCTTGTAGGGCAGCTCCAAGTTCTTCAGATTCCGCCAACCTAAGGTGTTCTCGAGCACATAGAAGGCAGCGTCCCCGCTCCACCAGCCTTCTTCGAGGTGCGGTAGATGTACACGTATTGTCCTTGTTGGAAATCACCATGAAGAACCCGGGGACGACCATGTAGTGCTCGTTGGAGATGCTCAGTTGCTTGTAGTTGTACATAGGCTTCTCGGGCTGCTTGTCTTATGTTTGCTCTTCTTTGCCACTCCTCAGATGGGTCGATGAGATCTTGACGTTCTGCAGCGTCGTCATCCCCATCAATCAAACCAATGCCGAGTTTGGGAGCTACCCCAAACAGCCACTGAGCTGGTGAGTATCCATGTCTTCTCCTTAGGTAGTTCTTGGCTTCCCCGACGGCAGCGAGGACCCAATTGGTCTCGTGACCTTTCATGGAGATGTGCTTTTTCACCCGGTCGAACATCTGGCGGAACCATTCATTTTGTTGTCCAACATGCCCATTTTGCCAGTGTGCTTGTCCGGCCGTATACTGGATGTTGATGCCGTGTTTCTCCAATTCTGCTGGGAAGTCTTTCATCAGCCCCCGTTCTTGATCGACTAGTACGGTGGTTGGTGTTCCGGCCCAAGCCATCCATGCTCGTAGAAAGCCCCTTGCATAGTCCCCTCCAGTTTTCCCAGTCACGGGGTACACAAGGTGGAACCCTGATCCCACATCCAGCATGGATAGGACCGTGATCCCGGCCCCTTCGCGAGTGTGTAGGTCCATGGTGTCCACGGCAACCTCCTCGTTGAAGTCAAGCGGTTTCACCACCTTAGTAGGCCTTCGTCCCCCCGTTGAGGTGGACCGACAGCAGGTTTGACACTGTAGTTGCTGGCAAGCCTTCACCACTTGTGAGTCAGCTCCTGCAAGACGAAGGTGTCGTGCCAGGTCCTCATTCGATGGGTGTCCCATATTCTGGTGGACTCTCCTCAGGGCACTTGCTATGTTCTTCGGGACGTGGCTGGGAAACGAGATGGCTGAGGCCCCTTCGTCAATCTTGACGACGGTGAGGTCTTCACTTGGTCCTCGCAGTGGCCCCTCGCTTCTGTGGCCAGGTAGAAGACAGCTCTCCACCGCAAAAGCGTCCAGGATAGTTCGCCTCCTTTTTCTCATAGCCAAATGGCTTCTCACAACCGCTCTTGAGAACTGTGGAGTGTACTGTCCCGCTGGTTTGGTGTTCTGTCCTGCTGTGGCTCCATGTTCATGTGCGCAAATGCAGGATCTAGCCAGCCCCTGTGCGTAGGCCTCGTCGGTGATGTAGACAGTCGTTGGCTTCTTGAGCAGTTCACCATCAGTGACTGCCCTGAGGTCGTAACAGCACATGTCCGCTTCACCTCATGGAATAAAGGGTCTTGCAAGAGATCTGCGATGGAGGGGTCCTTCCACATAGCCGAATTTCTTGGATGTTCGAATCCCACATGGCGACCTTGTTCGATCTGTCTCAGGGCCACCTTGACGGCGAAGCGGATCAGTCTTCGTTGACGAGCTCGTAGTCGACGAAGTAGTTGTGGCCTGTCCTTGTAGTTGATATTCGTCCATGGACCCCATACTGTACAGGGAAGTGCAATCCAAACCAACTCGGGCTTAAAGTGGTCCACTTCCTCCAGTATCTTCTCTTGTTGCTCAGGTTGGAAAAGGTCGTGCCCAAAACGAAGGTCTCGTGGTTCAAGGACATTCAGTTTGGCCTTGGCATACTCAAGAGTCAATTGAGCGTGTCCACAGAAGAGCTCCGTTGGCCAAATGTTTTGTTCAGCCCATGACTTCACTGGGTCGGTAGTCCTGTCGATCGACTCCAAGGCCGTGGCCGAGAAGGCCAGCAGTGTTGTCATGAGACAACCTAAGGTTTGCCTCGCCTCTTTCTGGCGACCCGCTTCATCTTGTGGCTGGGCAATCTTTTGACCTGCTCATAGTCATCCGGGTAGTGGAGGTTCACCTTGGGCACCAAGTCCACGGTCTCGTTCAAGTCCCCAATGTCTTCGGACGAGACCTCATAGTTCTTCTTTTCCCCAAATAGGTTGAAGATGCCGTAGGCAGTGTCCCTTCCATTGTGTGTTTCTTGGGTTGATTCCTCAGTCACCCCTGAGTTCATAGTTCCCCCACAACCCGTTCGGGCCTTCTTGGCCTTGATGGCCTCATTCACTGCTGTCCAGTAGGCTTTTGACTTGACGCGGCGAGCTGATCCTGGAGGGCCTTGACCGTCTTCTCCAGAACTTCGATCTTCTGGGCGTTGTTGGTGTCCTCGATCATGGAGAAGTCCTCGTCCTCGGATGAGCTCAATGTCCTTGTCTTCTTGCGCGGGGCTGTCTTGCTCTTCGTCTTTGGATAGCGACTGCTTGTGCCCGTCTTCAGGGCTTGCCCCCTTGGGTAGCCGATTTGGGAGGTAGTTCCGCAGGGGGAGGTGCATTCAACGCAGTCGATTCCGGGTCCTTGTAGCCCTGCGACTTGTATTTCGAGGTGGCCTCGGTCTTCTGGGACTTGTTCTCTTTGGCCCAACGTGCCAACCGGATCAGGTCCGGGGAGCTGTTGTCGCTCGTGGCTATCTCCGTGATTGCCCAATCCAAGTAGCTTGAGGGCACCTTGCCAAAGCGGTATCCCTTGTACCGGCCAAACGGCACCTGGGACGCTGTCCCGGATCAGCCGCATCAGCAATCCGCGAGTGGGCTTTGTGGGTATCTCTATCCCCGCTTCGCGGGCCTTGGCCAGCAGCTGGTCGAGCTTCATGCTGGAGAGCCCCTTGAGTTCGTTGTGGTTGGGTTCCTCCTTCTGTTCGGAGATGATGGAGCGAAGTTCCAGAACGGTCCACTCCTTGCGAACAGGGATGCCCAGCTGACCGAGTGTCTCCACCAGCTCTGCCTTGTTCATCTTCCATGGCGAGATGGTCGGGGTCGAGGACATCCGAAAGGAGGCCGGGCTCGGAAGGCAAGGCGCCTGTTGATGCCTGCGATTTGAATCGTAAAATCTCCACGCTCCGGGAACATCGTCGCTCCACTGAAACCGGTGACTGAGAGGCAATGCATTTGTTGTGCAAGGTATGGCAATAGTTTCACAATCTTCCTCTAATTGTTCCAGCAGTTTGGTTTTCAGGGTCTGGTTCGCTGTAGTCCATGTCCGGGGATCAAAGGATGTTCTTCGATCGGGGTGTGACGTGGATGCGGTACATGTACTCCGGGATCTCGATCCAAAAGTCCCTATAGTGATCCTTTGATCTCCACCAGTTCAAAAATGCTTCATGGTGCAACGGCTCAGCGATCAACATGTCATGCACAGCTTTCGTCAACTTCTTCGGATAAAACAAATGCGACTGCGGCTGCGGGCTCACCATGTATACCTCTTGCAACTGAGGTACAAAGATCTCAGTGAGACTCCAGTCAACCCGCTCCGGCCACGTAAGCAGATCTGGCTTGGTGCCAGTCACAGAAACTTGTGGGTGGCCGGAGGAACTCATAATCAGCGACACCTGGCTGACGCCAAGTGAGGCGAAATCAGCAAGGCCCTTGGCGATGTTGTAGTTCATGCCTAACTCGGCCAATGCCACTCTGCTCAGGAGCAAGGGAACATCAGCGCTGACCACGCTGATCTTAACCAGGAACCATTTGTTCTTGATGGAGAGCCATGTCACCACTGCCATCTTGGAGGGATAAAGTTTCTTTCCCCCAAACTTGAAGATCTCCTCTTGGGGGAGTACGAAGAAGGGGATGTGCTCGGCCTTCAAGTGACGAAGGAAGGAGGCCATCCATGTTTTGCCAGCCAAGGTCCTGCTGCACGCACAGTCCGTGATGGCCAAGAAACCTTGACCCCCTTCTCCACCCTTCTCCTCGTCCGTAAAATGGACCATGTAGGGATCCCGTCCATGAAGCTCCCCAAGCCCCGCAAACTCGTCATAGTTCACGTTGTAGTCTTCCCCAGTGTCCACGATTCCCAAGTCGACCTCGTTCTCGTCGGAGTCCATGATATAGTTATCCCCAACATCCTTACCATCGGGGAAGTCAATCACGTAGTCGCTGTCATCAACCGAGGTGGCCACGTAGACCACATGAGTGGTGTGTGCGGTCTGTCCGCTCACTCTGGATCCTTGTGGCAGTGACCCTTCTTGTGACAAACCGAGCAGTAGCTCCGTGCCTTAGCTGATTTGAGACGATCTTCTTTGGACTGGGAGAAGCCCCGATCCTTCATGATGGCACGATACTTGGGAAAGCCACATAGGCCTCCTGGGTCGCTTCGTCACCCTCGAACAGGTCCATGTCCTCATCGTCCGTCATGGTGTCCTCGGAGTCGTGGATCTCCTCGTGGTTCTCATCGATGGAGGTCATCAGAGCTTGGTGTTTCTTTTTGTCGTCGCTTCTCCTGTCCTCGGAGCGTCGGTCCCCGTCGGGTCTCCTTTCCCACATTCTCCGGTTCATACGATCTTGTATGATCGCAGCGTCTTGAAGCTTGTTCAGGGTGTAGGAGTTGCCGACAGACGACAACAAGTTCAACTCCGACGTATTGTCCATGCGCATCTTGTCGACATACCACCAGGCGAGGCAGGCGTCCAACTTCTTTCAACCTGCTGACCTGCCGGTCGAACTCCTGCTTAAAGTCCCGGATGTCCTGCTGGGTGTTCCGCTTGAGGACCTTGACGAAGTCGGACATGTAGCGGCCTATCTTTGTCACCTCGCGGTCCATGTAGCGGGACTTGATCCAATCGACAAACACCTCAACCCCTTGTTCGGAGTCGAGCAATCCAAGCTCAAGTTCTTCTGCGTCACGCCAAGCTCGGCCTGTGAGGTTGTTGTAGAGCATCAGGGCTTGTTTGGGGCGCGTCAACCTGGTCACGCGGTCACGCGCCTCCAGGCCTCGATCTTTCGGATGTAGCCCTTGGCCTTCAATCCATCCCTATCATCTTCACCATTGTACTCGGGAACCTGGATCTTATCTTGTCCACCAGCTCCACCTCGACGGTCTTCATGTCCTTGCCGTGGATCTCCCTGGTTTCCCCACCAAGGATCACAACCAATCCCTTGAGGTGCCGTAGGCGCCGCCGAGGCTGTAGGTCCCAATGGAGATGCTGCCCTTGCACCATCCCCGGATCCAACCCAGGATCTCCCGATGGCGTGGACCAGGCGTAGTAGGCATTCCACCTTTTCCACTCCTGCTCACTCCAACCACCCCATGACCTTTCCGTCGGAGTTCCCGGCCTCATCTCCTCAGGACCAGCTGGAAATGCACCTTCATCATCCAGGTCGGCCTCCTGAACGCTGTCCTCCTCCCCAGGCGTAGGCATGCCCACACAGTAGCGACCCCTGCCACGATCACCGTGATCTCAACAACCACCTCTAACAACCCTAGAAGTCCCACGCACGGCGAAAGGAATATGGCTCAACGCTACCAATGTAAACAAGCAAGGCATACACGCCTTTTCACAAGACAGCGAACGCTTGTGCCTTTAAAGCGGCGGCCGGCAGGGTCAACTGAGTGACATGTTCACAGTAACAAGTGCCACGCTACGAGGAGCAAGGACGCTACTAGTAACGCGTCTCAACTCAACGGGCCCAACGGGCTCGACGGTGAACGGGAAGCGGAGGTGAATGGGCGAACATGCCGAACATTGCTCCGTTCGTAGCGATGCCAGGAGCCCCTAGTAGCATCCTTGTTCCTGGTACGGCTGGAAGACCGCGTCAGGGCACCATAAACGCAATCCTGAGGTCGCTGTAAATGCCTGGTCAGCTGTGGCTCAGTCAGAACTGCCACGAAGTTGCCAATGTCCACTGACCTCAGAGTGATTTGGGTCGAAACCCTACATCCGTGAAAACACCAAACCTGAAGAAAGCACTGCCAGGACCCACAAGGGTCGTTGATGGCTAACCTCCAAGGGGCTAATTGGAGGACAGCCTTGCAAAGGAAGGTGAGAGTCAGAGGACCACCCTCGAGCCAGAAACTGAAGAACACTCAGTCAGGAGAACTATGACAAAGTCAACATTGGAAGCACCAAAGAAATGCGGATCTATATAGAGAAATTGAAAGTTTGAAAGCATGAGTCCAGTGAAACTTATATAAACAGGAAACGAGAAGGAAACAAGATGGAGCCCACGAACCCGAATGCAAACACGTTCAAAAAGCTACATATGTCCAAATGACACCCTTGTAGGACACTCTTGTGGGATGACCCACTCTTGTAGGAAACTCTTGTGGGACACTCTTACGGGACACTCTCGTGGGACACTC